TTTTTTTTTTGGGGGGGGGACCAAAGTAGGAGAGTTGGGACCAAAGACCACTGCGCTGGGCCAGGCCGTCCCTGCAGCTGGGCACAGGAGCCCTGGGCTGGGTGCTACAGCCTTTGCCCAGCATGCAGGAGGCTGCAGAAGGAGAACAGGCAGGGATTTTTTTGTCTTGAAATTTTCCCATATGTTAAGGGGCTTTTTGGGCAGGGGGAATCATGAATTTAAAAAGCTCTTTTGCTGCAAAGTTTCTGGGATGGAAGGTGGGGGAGGGGAACTCCTGTTTGTGATCCTCCTGACCCGGCCTCCTATGTGCTGGACTTCCAGGCCTGCACCAGCACACCAGGGCTGTTCAAAGGTTTTTTGTTTGTTTCTTTTCTTCTCTCTCTCTCTCTCTCTCTCTCTCTCTCTCTCTCTCTCTCTCTCTCGACCTTGCACTTGCCAGGCAGGCACTTATGCCGCTGAGCTATCTCCCAGCCCCTAAAAGACTCCCAGCCCCTAAAAGATGTTTATAGCTTATGCAGAATGAAGCTTCTAGAATCACATTTACCTGGAATCACGTCTGTCGTGATCTGTATTTCTGCCATGGTCTACTTAAAACATTGAGAAGCCTAGGGGATTTCTTCTGCAAGAGGTGGCAGCAGGACATGGTGGAGCCCACCCTCGATCCCAGCAATCTGGGAGGCTGAGGCAGAAGGATCACAAATGAACGCCCAGCTTGGGCAATTTGGCAACCCGAGGCCAGGCTTTGCCTCAGAACAAAAGGAGGGTGGGATATAGCTCCGTGCAGAGGTCCAGGGTTCAGCCCTCACAACCGCACATGCGTGCGGAGAGTTGCCTCCGACCTAGGGCTGGACACACGAGCCAGTTTTTCTTTCTCCCCATGGGCTGTGGGGCTTCCTAGGAATCCATTCAGGCGATTCACTTTGCCCGGCTTACGATTTCCCCCCGTGAGTCGAACCCCAGCACTAACTCAAGAGCTTTTTAAACTGGGGTGGTGGCGCACACCTGTAAACCTAGCACTCAGGAGGCTGAGGCAGGAGGATCGCCCAGATATGGAGGCCAGATGGGCTACACACTGAAATCTTGTCTCCGAAAAGAAAAACCCCAGAAAAATTAAAAACATCGACAACCAACAAACTTGATGACACGCAGGCGGCAGGGCAGAAGCTGAGCAAAGAGAGACGCACCCCTGGCCCCGCCCACATGTTTAGATTTTCTTCCCCAAGCCTCGCCCCCTAACACGCGGTCCTCCGGGCCCCACCCCCAAGGCAGGGTTGCTAGGGCAGGGATTCCCTCTCCAGCCAATCGCTTGCGAGCTCCGAGCCTGCCCGGAACAAAGATGGCGGGCGTGGCCTCGGTGAGGGCAAGCTGATCGCTGTGCTAGACCTAGGCGCGGGGAGAAGAGCGCGGCGACCATGGAGCAGGGCGGCGGCGGCGACGGCCACCCCGGCGGAGGGGCGCGGCAGAGGGAGCTGGAGCGCACGGCCGAGGTCCTGGTCACCGGGGAGCAGCTGCGGTAGGCACTGTCGCCCGGCGCTGCATGCTGTCCTAGTCCTGCGCCCGCGACCTGGCCTGGGCGACCGCGACCCGGTCTGGGTGACAGCTCCGGGAGCAGGATTCGGCGCGGTCGTGGGCCGCGGGAGCTGGGCGCTCGCTGTCATCCCGCGCTGGGAGGCTGAGGCAGGAGGATCTCTGCGAGTTCGCGGCCAGCTGCGCTGTCCTGGAG